CCCAACATCATCCCACAGCCCCATTGCACCTTGCCCTGCAACCGCCGAAGGTCTAACACCTGCCTATTTGCCTCCTCCCTCCTAATATGCAAGGACCCAAACATACTTTCCAGGTGAAGTACAAGTGAAGAACAAAAGTGATTTACCTGTGCTTCCCACAATCTACTGCATTTGCTACTGACAATGTAGTCTCCTGTACATTGGGGAAACGAAGCATAAACTAGGTGACTGCTTCACACAACATCTACATTCTCCCTGCAAAAAAGACCCTGAGCTTCCAGTTGCCTGCCACTTTAACGCATCACCCTGTTCCCTGGCCAATATCTCTGTCTCAGGGATAGTAGGAACTGCAGATGCTGGAGAATCCGAGACAACAAGGTGCAGGGCTGGATGAACACAGCAGGCCAAGCCTCTCTGCTCCTATGATGCTGCTTGGCCTGCTGTGTTCATCCAGCCCTGCACCTTGTTGTCTCGGATTCTCCAGCATCTGCAGTTCCTACTATCTCTGATTCAATTTTAACCCCACTGCGAAGCCTCTTCTAAGGATGCCTAACCTGAAGAAGTTACCCTCCTCCCTCCGGGAGCCTCTCTGCTCCTATGATGCTGCTTGGCCTGCTGTGTTCATCCAGCCCTGCACCTTGTTGTCTCTGTCTCAGGCTTGCTGCAGTGTTGCAGCGAAGCTCAGCGCAAGCTGGAAGAGCACCATCTCATTTTCTTGCTTGGGGACTCTGCAGCCCTGCGGACTCCATATCCAGTTCAATAGTTTTAGGGCCTGAACTCTCCCATGTCCTAGCCCCTTACCTCACACAGCAGGCCCTGTTATCACACAGTCTGCCATTACACACTACATATTGTTGGCCACTAACAGTCTCCATTAACAGCTATTCACTCTCCTAGCCAGATTGATATCCACTCCATTGTCTGAGCAAATGTTCTTCTCTCTCTCTTTGGGCTCTACCCTCACCTTATCTTCTGCATATAAAGTGGCATTTTCTGAACTACCATCAATTCTGAGGAAGGGCCACCAGACCCGAAACATTAACTCTCATTTCTCTTCACAGATGCTGCCAGGCCTGCTGAGCTTTTCCAACAACTTCTGTCTTTGCCATCTGATCACCTTGTCACACCATATATAATTGACACGAATAAAAGCAAAATAATAAACAAGTAAGATCGCACAGTAATGACATACATACTTGAAATTCAGGTCTGCCAACAGTGGAAATAAAATTGACTTCATAATTCACATTTCTACATAGTATTTCTTTCATGCAAATACTATACATATAAAAACAACAATCTGCATTTTTGTAGCAGCTTGAAAATAATTAAATGTCCCAAGGTTCTTCACTGGTGGTTCATCAAACAAAGTTTGATGTCAAAATATTGAGCCATATGGCCAATGCTGGATCAGAGATTTAAACAGAAGGAGTAAAGAGATAAAGGGGCAGAAAACTTCAGGGAAGAAATTCCAGAGCTTTGGATCTACTCTACATTGGAGAAATCAAACGCAGACTGGGTGACCACTTTGCAGAACACCTCCGGTCTGTGCTCAAGCATGACCCTGACCTTCCCGTAGCTGGTCATTTCAACACAGCATCCTGTTCGCATGTCCATGTGTCTGTCCTTGGCATGCTGCATCAAGTCAGGACTTATACACTTAATGGTAGGGTCCTGGGAAGTGTTGCTGAACAAAGAGACCTTGGAATGTAGGATCATTGTTCCTTGAAAGTGGAGTCACAGGTAGATAGGAGAGCGAAGAAGGCATTTGGTATGCTTGCCTTTATTGGACAGTGAAGTGAGTATAGGTGTTGGGAGGTCATGTTGCAGCTGTACAGGACATTGGTCAGGCCACTGTTGGAATACTGCATTCAATTTTGGCCTCTCTGCTTTAGGAAAGGTGTAGTTAAACTTGAAAGGGTTCAGAAAAGATTTACAAGGATTTTGCCATGGTTGGAGGGTTTAGGCAATAAGGAGAAGCTGAATAGGCTAGGGCTATTTTCCCTGGTGCACAGGAGGCTGAGAGATGACCTTATTGAGGTTGAAGCAATCATGAGGGCACGGATTGGGTAATTAGACAAGGTCTTTACCCTGGGGTGGAGAAGTAAAAAACTAGAGGGCATAGGTTTAGGGTGAGACAGGAAAGATTTAAAAAGGACAACTTTTTCCTGCAGAGGGTGATGCGTGTATGGAATAAGCTGCCAGAGGAAGTGCTGGAGGCTGGTACAATTAAAACATTTAAAAGGCAACTGTATGGTATGTGAATAGAAAGGGGTTAGAACGATATGGCCAAATGTTGGCAAATGGGACTAGATTCATCTAGGATAACTGTTATCCAAGACAAGTTGGACCAAAGGGTCTGTTTCCATGATGTACATCTCCATGTCTCTATGCTGCAGTACGCCAGTGAACAACAGTGCAAACTGGAGGAACAACATCTCATCTTCAGGTAAGGAATTTTACAGCCTTCTGGACTTAATATGGCGTTCAACACCTTCAAATTGTGAACCAACTCCCATTTCTTCCCTTTCTTTCAGCTTTACTTGTTACATTCTCTATCACCATGTCCTGTCTCCCCACCCTCACCCCAGTGGAACTGTCTTCTCTTTCAAGTCTGGCAATTAGACACACCATTGCTCTGCCATTCTCACATTCCAATCACTTAATCTGAACTATCATAATCTTTTCTCCACCAGCACTCTCCACCCACCACTGTCACCTCCCAACTATAGCAGAAATGCTGTCCCCTCCATACTTCACTTCAGCATCTCATGAAGAGTCATCTAGACTCAAAATGTTAGCTTGCTCTCTCTCCGTGGATGCTGTCTGACCCGCTGTGATCTCCAGTTTTTGTTGTTTTCAGTTCAGATTCCAGTATCTGCAGTAATATGCTCGTACATAATTAAGGATCGCTTTTACAGAAGAATGAAGAACTTGCATGGCCAGCCGTAATGTTCCAAAAAACTTTATAGCCAATAAAGTGCTTTCTGTGAAGTATAGGCGCTGTTGTAACATTGGAAACATTGCAGCCAATCTGAATGTGGCAAGTTCCCAACAACAGCACTGTGATAATGACTGGGTTTCTTTTAGAGATAGCAGGAACTGCAGATGCTGGAGAATCTGAGATAACAAGGTGTAGAGCTGGATGAACACAGCAGGCCAGGCAGCATCAGAGGAGCAGGAAGGCTGACGTTTCGGGCCTAGACCCTTCTTCGGTCT